AAGGCCAAATATATAAAAAATATATAAAAGGCCAATTTCTGGTAAAGCACAGATTTTTCACACTATTTCCCCAGCAAAATGTATCCTTCACACAAACAAGGCTTTGCACAATAACATTAACATAGTAAATTTTGAATGAATATTGATTAATTTATGGAATGTAGTCTTTTGTCACTTAATGACTTAAACATTAGACTTTGATCAAATCTCTACAATATACGATAAAGCAATTTAGAGGAAGTAGTTTGAATAATTTCCATAAAAGTTGCCAAAAGTTCTCCCAATATATATAAGAATTTTGCTCTAAAATCCTTAATAATCATAATCATATCAAATATTTATGCTTATAAAAGAGGTGGTCTTTTGTGATTTATTTCATTCATGATTACTGTAACTTCTTTACCAATAAATATCTGAAGAAGACCTTTTTCACATGCAGAATGACTTTATAAATATTACATTTTTACTATATAAGCATCTATAGGAAACACATCAAATAAAATTCATCAATCACACAAGAAAATTATGGAAATTGATTCAATTGTAGTGTTAGAATTTCAATTGTGGCCTTTTAACAAGTTGAAGAAAGAATTTTAATATATACTTATGTAAGGAAACTATTATTTTATTTAACTAGTTATAAATGAGACACATTTGTATTTGGACACTATCCACAGGCTATGAAATCATCAGGTTAAATTCTAACTCTCCCAGAATCTCTTGGGGAAAAAAAAAATTGTTTCATGTTTGGAAACTGTCCCTCATGCCTCAGAGTGACTTCACTCTTGAGGCCTAATTTAACACAAATGGTAGAGGCATAATCAACATTTTTTTGGAGTCTATGCTACAACTTGCTTTTCCTTTAGTTGTGATTATTTTAATACCAGGGGAATTGTTCATTTGGTCTTGAAATTTGATATTTGTTTATTCAGTGACAAGGTCAAATGCTGCCTTTTTAATTTGCAGATTTTTCTGATTTCTTACATGAAGAACAACTTGCTCTTGCTTTTATTGTCACTATGATATCCTAAAGATTAAGTGAAATGTTTTTGACCAACAATTGATAAAGCACAAGGAATGTTTTGAGTGAACGGACTGCTTCTACCATCTGTACTGTCTCAAACAGTTCTTCGGTCTGTTCATTATTTACAGAAAGAAAGATAAAACCAGAATGTTTAAAATGAAAAATGACTGAGATGTTGAAAAGGACATAGGTCAATTTTTATATTCATACAACATTATGGAGAATAAAAGTTTATATTTATGTAGCCATTATAAATTCCTCCTTGGTATATCAAAAACTGTAAAATATGCATGCTACCTAGCATTTCCATATACCAGCTTCCTACATGTGAGGAAAGCTGGGAATGGAGCCACCATTTGACCCAGCTATTCCCCTTCTCGGTCTATTCCCTAAAGACCTAAAAAGAGCATGCTACAGGGACACTGCTACATCGATGTTCATAGCAGCACAATTCACAATAGCAAGACTGTGGAACCAACCTAGATGCCCTTCAATAGATGAATGGATAAAAAAAAATGTAACATTTATACACAATGGAGTCTTACTCTGCATTAAAAAATGACAAAATCATAGAATTTACAGGGAAATGGATGGCATTAGAGCAGATTATGCTAAGTGAAGCTAGCCAATCCCTAAAAAACAAATGCCAAATGTCTTCTTTCATATAAGGAGAGTAACTAAGAACAGAGTAGGGTCGAAGAGCATGAGAAGAAGATTAACATTAAACTGGGATGAGAGGTGGGAGGGAAAGGGAGAGAGAAGGGAAATTGCATGGAAATGGAAGGAGACCCTCAGAGTTATACAAAAGTACATACAAGAGGAAGTGAGGGGAAAGGGAAAAATAATACAAGGGGGACAAATGAATGTCAGTAGAGGGGGCAGAGAGAGAAGAGGGGAGGGGAGGAGAGGGGAGGTGAGGGGGGATAGTAGAGGATAGGAAAGGCAGCAGAACACAACAGACACTAGTATGGCAATATGTAAATCAATGGATGTGTAACTGATGTGATTCTGCAATCTGTATATGGGGTAAAAATGGGAGCTCATAACCCACTTGAATCAAAGTGTGAAATATGATATATCAAGAACTATGTAATGTTTTGAACAGCCAACAATAAAAAATTAAAAAGAAATTCATAACAGTCTTTAATATTAGCAAAATGGAATGTTAGCAAAGCATGTAATTATAGTCATTCAATGAAACATGATAAACTATCAGAAATTAACAAACTGTACTTATAAACAAGATCCTAAATGAATCTCACACACCGACACACAAAAATACTAAGTAAAATGAATGAAATCCAAAGAGTACATGATACATGATCACAATTATATAAAACTGAAAACCAGATGCAATATGTATGTTATCTATATTTAGAAGTCAAGACAATGGTTACCACTGAGTTGGTAAATAATAATTGGAAAGGAACATGGCAGTGACATGGAGGGTGATTTTGTTTCTTGACTGAATGCTGATTTCCAGTCATGCTCAGTTATGTTAACTTATCAAACTACACCTTCAATTTCTGTGTACCTTAGTTTGTGTGTTGTACATTAGTAAAAATTTTGCATAGAAGAGTCACTGAAATGAGTCTCACTGCAATGAATCATATACATAATACTTAAATTATATACAATTATTAGTAATTAGCTAAAGTATATATAACACAATTATTTGTAAATAGCTAAAGTATATGTGTGGTTATGAGTACAAAAATACTCCACAGCCTAACAAAGCTTTATTCAATAATTTTGTTTCTAGAGAAGAAAATACTTTGTAATTTAAGTCAGTCATGAATATCATATCATCTTCTATTAGTAAATAATACAAGGTAACCATTGTAATTAATTGATGTGCACATCTAATTGTATTGTTATAATAAAGATTATATTTGGGCCATAAATTATTGCCTTCAAAATTATTGCTTATGGTTTAGGGGTGTGAACACATAAGGCCCTGGGTTTAATCCCCAACACTGCAATATTTTTAATTATTGCTTGAATAAAAGGAGTTATTGGAAATAAAAACCTTTTTTAAAAAACTGAATTACATACTTCTCTATAATGAATACCTACTAAGTATCATATTTATATGACTTACCAAAATTGATCCTTTTATACATATTTTTGGAATTCGCATGAGTAAAAAAAAAATAAGTGTAGGGTTATTTTCCTCTATGAACAAGAGTACTGATTTACAACTATTTATTGCATGAAAAAATCAATTCCTTCCTTCAAAGACATACACGGAGACCAAGAAGTGCTCATACTTATACACTCAGATTTCACATCCATCACTAAAGAGGTATAAACAGATACATAAACTGAAGATATCTACGCATAAAGCAAAATAATCAACATGGAATATGTGATGGTGAATACGAAAATTACATCATCCTAACAAAATACAAGACGAAAAATTATATGGTGGTAGAGACTAGAGATTTTGAACAGTGCTTTTCATGTCATAGATAGTTATCGATTCATTAGTCCAACATATCTCAAATGCAAGCTGGCAAATTTAAAATAGAGTTATAATTCATTCGCAGTCTCACAGTCTCATGGACGTGGAAATAAATAACTAAATGCAGTGGGATAACAGCATAGGGCATGTGGGAAGATCCACAGGAACACAGATGAGAGAGTAATGGTGGGTGCAGACCAAAGCCCAGCTGGGGGTCCTGAGTCCTTCTCTGACTTGGTCAGTGTAATTGGACTCATGTTAGGCATTTAAAGAAAAACAGGCTACATACTTGAAATATTCTTAGGGAAGAACTTTTCTTTTAGACAACCTTAGTATTTTAGCTACCTTTCATGGAATATCCAGTAGATATAATAATGACTAAATCCTTAAAGATCATAAAATATTTAGTTAAGAATGAAATTCCACTAAGTCTGCTGGGCCTAACGGTACTCAAATTACAAAAGAGTGTTCTTGTCTATGCTGCAACCTTACTGCTTCAAATATCAGATTAACAGACTTGGTGAAGTTATGGCTTTTGCTTCAAAATGATTCAATCATTTCACATTTCAAAAAATATTTGCTTTTTAAAATTCATTTGGAAGTTATAGTCTAAAACAAACAAGAGTGGAGTTTACAAATTTTAAGCAAATAAATGAGGATTTCTAATAAAAATTTCAATTAAGATCCATCCCTTGTATGGTGTGTTTGTACATGTATGTGAGTGTGTGATTTTTCAGGCACACCCTGTCCTTTCAACAAATTTTGATTAACTGACAAAATGTTTTTCAGTCATTTGTTTCCAAATTCCAAACCAGGATAAAGTATCCTGGTTTCTGAGATATACATCAGGGATCAGTCCTCTGTCTTTATAAATTACAATTCATTGATTGTCTTTTCTGTTTCTCATTCCATCAAAAGTACGGTATCTGGTTGTGCCCTATCTGACTAGTGTCTGTCAACAAAGGGAACTGTTAGTACAACTGGAATGAGAAGCTACAGAACACTCATGTGCCCTTGAAACAAGATTTCAAGAGTCTCTATTTCATGAGTTTTTATTCCTGGCCTTCTTACTCTCTGTTCTCTACAACTCTTTATTTTTTCCTCGGAATATTGAGAGACACGGAGAACACCATTTTAAGAAAGGAGAATTTAGGCATGGACCATGTTTGCACATAGCTTTGATGCGATTGTCTACGATTCCGGAGGCAAACACAAGAACACTGAATTGCACACAAAGTCTGTATCTCATCATCTGTGGCTACAGATGGAAAACAGCCTGCACAAACAGGAGGTGTCGTTAACCAGGTGGATTTCCAGTTTCAATATGTTTGAATAAATTTGGGGGTAACACAGAGACATTAGCAACTGGGCAATGCTGAGAACACTGAAGAGGTGTCAGAAGGGACTCTCAATCCCAGTGCTAAGCATTTTTCAAAAAATCCACAAGTTATTTGAAAAATTTCCTAATATTTGAGCCACCTGTTTGTGCATTCAGCCTATTTTCTCACTTACCACCATAGCAGCATAGACTTATTTTATCCTGCTGCCAACTTCCCCTCCTCTCTCTGAGTTTGGCATTACCTGTGACATGATCTGTAATTTAAAGAAACAAAATCCAAATTAGCTGGATGCTCTTAACCTTTAGAGAATTTAGAATGGGGCAACATTACTATTTATAGCATGTGTATTCTTATAACTAATTTCCCCATACTTTCTTAAAAAAAAAAATCTGATCCTTGCACATTAAAGGCCATGATCAGCAACTGAGGATAGATTTTCCTGTGATTGTCCTCTCCTGTCGCACTGTTTCTTACATAAGTGACCATAGTGGTTCTCTATGCTTTTTAATAATGAAGCTGCACAACTGTGGCCCAGGATGGACTGTGGTGCTCAGCTCTCCTAGCTGCATTCCCATTTTTGAGGTTTTCCTGTCCTTCCCAGAGCCCCCAACATTCAAGAGAATGAGCAGTTTCAACTTTCACCTTCAGGACCACTTCCCTTCTAAGTGACTCATTTGGCAGGAAAGGGAAACCTGTGTTGGGGTGTGGAGTTTTCCCCTCAGATTAACACATTTCTGGCTGCTGGCAAAATTAGGGGAAAAAAAAAAAAGCTTCAAGGATAAAATGGCTTTATTTTATATCATGCCACCAGGAGGGAAAATTTTTAACATCGTCACCCAGCAAGCATGCCCCTTTAGGCTTCAGAAGGCACTCCCCCCCCATCCCCTTATATAATACACATAGCACTTTACCTCTGGAAATTATTTCTGACGATGACCCGGATATCAAAATTAGGAAACAGCCAGAAAGCATTTCCTTTCTTTTATGTGGTGTGTCAGTTGCCCTCTCTGAGTCTTTTCATTTATCCTGGCAGAGGTTTGTCTCTTTGCCTTTAAAAGTTAAATCCACCTTCATCACACAATGTAGAAAGAAGTGAAATTAAACTGCAGTGTGTTCCAGAGGAGAAAATCTACTTTATTCATCTCTCAGCCCTTCTTTAACTTACACTGACCTAATTACAGCCCACACCAGGAGAGGCCGAGTAGCCGAAGGAGCGCTTCTGCCACCTAGTGGGCAGTGTCCTGAACTGTGCATTGAGCCCTCTACGTTTTTGCTTTATTTCTGAAATGTCTGGCACACCATTGCAAATGACCTTCCCTAGTCTCTGCATGAATACTAAGGATATGCATCACACACTGTTCTCCTCCTTCGGATATTTCAAATATAATGTTCTCCTAAAGAACTCTATTTACAGAAGGTTGAACTGATGGTTCTTAGGATGAACTATAGCTTGAAAACTAATTCATTAGGAATGTACGATGGCTTATGAAAGTTAAATTGAAAATGATACTACAAATATTAATACCATTTAAAGAAGTATTTTAAATACCATGCATTGAATTTAATATTTAAGGATGTCAGCACTCTCCCCGATAAATCAATTACCCTTTCTAGTAGCAACCGCATGATTTAGCTAGCTGAATGATTTCTTCAGGGCAGCTTCAGGTCTGTTTATTTGTTTGCTTTGGGGAGTGGTAGTGGACATTTAAGAATGCTTCGTTCTCTTTTTCTGGCTTCATTAACGAGTTATTGATCAGTAACTTGAAAGAAAAACTTGGATGAAAAATGTAGTCAGTCCTGAATCACCAAATGCTAATTAAAACCAGGCAAAGAAAGGAAAATGAAAGGCACTTACAATGCCCAAATATCAGGATAACCGATCTCTTCTTTCACCAAAGCATGAAGGCAGCAGCCATGAGCTGTTCAGCCTGGCATTCCTGCCTGTGTCCTCAAGCAAAAAGAAACAACCCCGTGAAGTATCCCTGTAGATAAAAAGCAAAGAAATCTGCTGTGTATAATGGGCAATCAATTCTGGAATCATGAAGGTAAGTAATGTGTAAAGTCATATTGGCACCCATTGTAACAAAGCATTCAAAGTGATGTGATAATTTTCAGGGCTCTCGTATATTAGGACACTCTTCAATGTCATGGCTTCAAATTGCTTATCATATTAAACCTAAAAATAAAATTAATGAAGAATTGTTGTCATTATGCCTAAGGACTCCTTAAGTATCTACTGTTTTCAAGATTTTGTTTAGAGTTCTGATTAGACAAGGAAATGTCCATATGATTTCTGGCTGTAAAAACCTTTTTCATTTTTCAAACATTTAGAATGTATTCAAAATGGAATGGCCATTTATTCATCAAATATTAATTGGAGAGTGCAACGTGAGTTCTGTAGTAGACACAAGGGAAAACCAATGTGGCTGGGCTCTGACGCTGGTCAATTGATTTTTCCTCAAGTCTCTGTGCCTTATAGACTAAAATAAGAAATTTATGTGTATGTATTGCACAGTCTTTAAAAACCAACCCATTCTTCAATTCCACTGCCCTATCTTATTTTAGACTCTTATGGTTACTCCAGATAATTTCAATGACTTCCTTAGCAGGTCAATGTATTCTCAGTTTGTGTCTACTACAATTCAGATTCATTCTTTCCACTTTTGTCAGAATCATGTTGACCAATTGATCAATAAATAAAACAGGCAAATTCAGAACCTTCCAAAATTTGGCAAACAGGACTGATGCACATCATAGTTTTCTTCCTACAGCCATTTTGATACCAATTCTTACACATAAGTCGCTTCCTCAGAGAAGCACCTCATAAATCTTATCTCAAAATTGAATTATTTTCTTATAATTTTCATAGAATGCGATTGTACCATTCACTGCATTATTTCACTTGAACAAGATAGAAAGCCCTAAGTGAAATATCTCTTTATGTGTGTTTTACATTCAAAAGAGCAGAGACCAACTTTTGCTAAACATTACCACCTGTAGTGCAAAATTCAAGTACAATGCTATGAAATCCAGGTAGATAAAATACCAGAGCTAGTTCCAAAGTCATTTCTACCACACTGTGTTCTAATCTTTCTGCTGGGAACATCAGCATCGCTGGACGGCTGAAAGAGAGAGAGATTTTATTGGAAGCAGAGGTCAGCAAGGAACAGGGAAATGAGGGCAGGATTTTTCCAGATATCATGGTCAGAAGAGGGTGTTTCCTGCAGAAAAGGGAAAGAGGAAGTTAAGGAAGAGAGAGGGAAGCAGAGTTAAAAGTGGGAATGGAGATTAAAAGTGAGAATGGAGTAGAAACAGAGAGGAAAGGTATCAGAAAGAAAGAAAACAAAGTTTAATTTTATCAAAACAGCCTACTCATTGGGCATTATACTGGTCACACCACACATTTGTAGGGTTACCCCTCAAAAATTCAAGGAACAATTATGCCCATGTTTCATAGCAACATTTTGAAGCTTAGAAGGGCTCATAGCATTCAAATAGCTGCCCTGCCACTAAATCCCTGACCACTCAAAATACTTCTTATCAATAGCAGTCCTGGTTCTAATGGTCAAAAAACTGACGGTGTAGTAGGGTGACACCAAGGGAAAAATGTTCCTCTATGACATTTGCCCCTTTCTACCTGAGACTCTTAAGTCAGTTATTGGAAGAAGATGGTGGTAAGTAGTATGGTTTCTAGCAAAAGAGGCAAAACCAGAAATATTTCATGTGAAATCAGAAAGTCCTCATCTTTCCTTTCAATTTAGATGCATTCTACACCGTCAAACAATGGATCCAATAGAACGGATAAATATTCATAATCAACATTTATCATAATTTGCTTTCAAATGTTACTAATTTCTTTTATTCAAAAGTATTTCTCAAGTGCCTACCATGGGCCAATCCCTGTTTTAGTACTGGTGAACAAGGTGAAATCATGAAGTTTGTGTACGATCACTTTTTAGGGGAGGGAAAGTCAAGAAATAGAAAAACAAAGTAAAATATAAAGGTGTTCTTTGATGACTGCTGTAAAAATATAAAGCTAGGAAGAAGAAGGCTTTATTATGCTATTTTTTTACTTTAATTTCCATTTTTTTAAATTTTATTGATTGCCACATAATATTTGTACCTGTTTATAAGGTACAACGTGATCCTTTGATTTATTTACATATGGGACATAATAACTTAATATATATCCATCACCTTCAACTTTTATCTTTTCTTTATAATTAGTACAAAGTCCTCTCCTCTATTTTTGAGATACATATTATTGTTAGTTGTGTTCTTCCTATGTCATCATGGATCACCAAAACTTATTGCTCCTATCTCACTCATGTGTTGAATGTAAAAGAAGTTGATCTCATAGAAATTGAGAGAAATCTAACGGTGGGGAGGGGCTGAGGAGTATAGGTGACAGAGAGAAGAGAGAGGTCAGTCAGAGGGATGTGTTATTTTAAGTGCAGTCAACACTATGACAATGGAGAGACAAGTGACTCTCTTGGACATCTATGAAAGAGAGGTGTAAGCAAAGGGGACCTTAAGTGCAAAGCACATGGCAGGCAGGTGCAAATGATTTCTTCAAATCCAAGTGCTAAAGTGCTGGAGCATAAAGAGCAAGGAACAGACTCAAGGGAGGAGGTGGAGTTTAAATTGTTTAAAAGGCAAAGAGAGTCCCAGCCATACAAAGCGTTCAGATCAGGACAGACTTCCAGTAAGTGCAGAAAACATGTTACATAGCACCTACAATAACTTTAGGGGTCCACAAAACTGTTTTAATTTCTTTTAAATCAAAAGACAAAAAAAAAAAAACCTTTAAAAGAAAGTAAATGTTTTCATACATACAATTAACATACTTATCTCTATGCCAAATCTTTATGTGGAATAAAGATTTTAATATTTCCTTTATGGAGAAAGGAACTCACAGAGGTGAGACTGTGGTGGATCTTCATGGGTCACAGGATGCCAATGGAGTTGTGATCCACGCGAGGGACACAGTTTGAGAAGGGAGGCACCTTGGCTTGAGAATTGGAAAGGAAGGGAGGGTGCCTCAAAGGAAACTGAACAGGAGAGGTTCTCAGGACAGAGGAAAAGCAGGCACTCTCAATCTGGGGCAGCAACTGGGGAGAGTAATAGAGGAGGCTAATACTCCTGGATAAACTCAATGTTCATATGGTGTTGGATTCTGTTGTTTTTTCTTTACATCTTGTTTAAGCTTAGAAACGGAGGAGGCCCAGGGAAAAGGACCCTCTAATTACTAGCTAGTTACTGTCATTTTTAACCCCAAACTATTTTGCCTCATGAAGCTTTTGGATCATTATTGGCATCTTCCAGTTACTGTTTTGCTGAAAAATAGTTGTATTTTACTAGGAAAATTTTGCCAAATAAGATCAGGCACTATCATATTTCAATAAGAAGTTCACTTAATAAACTTAATCTAAGAATAACTCTAAGCCAATTATAAAATTTGCAACTTTCTTAATTAAGATTATGATTGATCGTTTCAGATTCAGTCTATAATTCAATATGATTCATATTATTTATTAAAATTTTTTATTTGCTTTTGCTCCTTTTAGGATATAATTATACCACTTAAACTTTTTCTTTATCTCTGCTGATTAGTTTCTTAGATGAAAAAAGTGACAATACTAACTAGTACATTATAAAGGTGACATAAAAAATAAGACATTACAAAGGAAGAATAATATTTGACATGCAAGAACTGCTCATCTTCTATTTTCTATTTAATCTCTATTTTAACAAAGTATATATCTATATCTCTGTCTTTCTGTGTATGTTTACGTATGTGTTTATGTGTGATGTATATATGTGTGTATATGTATGTATGTATATGAATGAAATAATTATATATATTACTTTACTTATATATAAGTAAAATGTGGGCCAGGGGCTATTCTCTGCTTTCAATAATAGACCAATGAACATATCAACCCAAAAAGCCTTTCTTGATAGAATTTAAATTTGAGAATGGTGGAAATGATCTTTATAAAGAGAAGGAAAAAAAATAAACAACACATAAAACAATGTAAGGAAAATTGTATCTGTTGGGCAGGGATTATCTAACAATTAAATAGATAATTTTGTCACAGTTTGAAGTAATTAAGGTATTGAGATTCTTGGTGTCTGGGGAGAAACATTGCCAATGTAGGGAGCTGC